ACTATACTTCTGACTTCTGACTGAAAACCACAGATTGGATCTCTTGGAGGTAGTCTAAAAGAAAAACAAAAAAGATAGGTAATGTATCAGCAGTATTAAAAATATAGAATAATCTTGATATCAGGTTACACCAATTAGGAGAGTACGTATAGTATGCGAGTGGTGGGATACTATTAAATACTTTATTTTTTTGCTTTGAATTAATTTTCGCTATTTGAGCTGAAGGAATGACTCAGTGAATATAAAATCTAGTGAAGAAACCTTTTTTACTATGTTTTACATTCAGCTTGTCAAAAATCAGTGAAGATAAATTGTATACAAAACATCCAGAAAGTCTTTTCAGCGAAAATTAATTCCAGCTATTAAAAATAAAGTATTTTACAGTTTTCAATGAGGATGTCATATTAATTAAAAAAGTTGTGCAAATTGAGAAATAATCAAAAAAAGTGTGTGACAAAATACATTTCTTAGAAACATGCATTAATACAAATAAGTAAGTCTGTACGTGAAAGAACTGATTAGTGTTCATAGTGGTTTGTTTTTCTAGTAGCCTTGTATACTGTAAATCTTCATTTTCACTATTTTCATTGCAGGAATGATTCACCATCCACTGTGTTCTGTAATGTCATTGGTTAGAAATGCATTCAAAAGAACTTATTTGCAAATGGCTGCCAAGATCTCATTCATTCTCTGTTGCCATAGCGTCCACTGCTCCAAATACCATGGTTGCATAGGTTAGTGGAACATGGACGTGATAATGGCAGAGAACAATATTGGACAGGAAAAAACAAGTTGTGTTGCTTTCTCACTCTCAACCATTCTCAGAATCTATTTGATAATAAGTTTTACATGCATGTAGAATAAGATCTTTATCAAATACATGTATCACTGTATACAGATATCAAAATTAAGTTGTACAGCCTTATAAAAGTCCTTGATATCACTTTCTAACCACTCTAACTGCTCTTAACAGGCATCCAACTTACTGTGAATCACTTTATTTTCACAACAAAAAACAAGAAATCTTGTAGCAGTGATTTCATTGGGATCTTTAAAACATTGAGCCACATATGGCAGGACAATTTTGTCGTTATGGGTGCTATCATTTATCATATGACAAAACTTCAATGGTTCACAGCATATGTGCAGTACATTTATATTTGACATTATTAAATGAAACATCCACCTACAATCATGAACATATCATATTAATGTTTAATAAAGTGACAAGTTGACTTTGTATGTAGTAAAAATAACCATAGTTTTGCTAAAACTATTACTGTAAGCTGTAATTACATTTTTACAATTTGATGTTTTCACCCTTTGGTTGACAGATATTCCAAAAATTCAGTGCAGATACTTTCAAGTTTTGTTAAATTTTCAGTAAATTTCACCATGTTGGTCCACACAGACAGTTTCAGATATTGTTTCTAGTATTTCAAAGAATAATTCACGAGTCACAGAAAACCTCAACGTGACAAAAACAGATGTGAGTGATACCCCCAAAGATATATAAGATCAGGGTGTAATATTGAGGTGAATTGTGAGATGATCAGTAAACCCTACATTTAAAGAAAAAGTATGCAAATAAGTAAGTCTGTCCAAGGACTGGTTTGCTAGCTTTCTTGCTTTATTCACAATACAAGTTCATTATAGTAACATGTAACAAGCAGCCTCTCGGCTGAGATAGCTCCGCTGTTAGCAATGCACATGGCAATTAAAGAACAGAAGATATCATTAGAAAATGAACAAATCTGAGAGAGGTCCACATGTAGTACCTATATGTATAATATATCAAAGCAATTGTAGTTTTCAAGAAGAAGTCGAAAAAGTAAAACATTGACACGGACGACGACGGACGATCACTCGTATGATAAGCTCCGCTCGACAAAGTCGACAGCGGAGCTAAAAACTTACTTGTAACTGCCCAGTGGTATCATTCTGATAAAGGGAAGTAGACAGGCATGTATTCCAGCTGCAGCAGCAACACAGAAAAACAGTATGATCACATACACTGTGAAAAGAAAAGAAATACAAAAATGTTACTGTAATGCATTAATTATTCATTTTGCTAGTTTTGCTGATAAGTAAAATTCGCTAAATTAAATCAATGTGAACATGTAAAATAACAATAAAACTCATTGTTTCCTTGGCAAATTCATGAAATTAAAAGTGAATACTGTAAAATGACTAATTTTCACTGGGTTTAAATTTCGCTGATTTACCATTTCAGGCATATTCAGTGGGTTTTAAATTCAAGGTTTTATCATTTATATAATGTGTTCTATGCTAAATTTTACATATTCATTGAGTTTTAATTTAGCGCATTTTCCAGTCAGCGAAATAAGCAAAATTAAAACCCAGTGAATAATAAATCCTTTTACAGTATCAAAATAGTGAGATTAAACGTCAGTGAATATAAATGCTTTTACAGTACTTGTTCTATTAAAAGTGCATATAAACCCAATATCACTTTTGTTGTATACTGAATCATTAAAACATTTATTTTTACCATAGAATCGCCTACATGTATGTGATTTACAAAAGTTCATACACTAGTTGTGGAGCAAATACAGCACATGTAAAAATCAATGAATACTAATGTGCAAACATGTCAATGAATTTCAGACATTTCATTGTCTTATTAGCTCTGAAATTCCAATAAAAATGAAACTTACCTATATAGTCATAGAAGAAGTAGAGTAATAAAAGCATACTGACTATCATGACAACAAATATTATCACCATGACAGCGCTCACATCTATTGATTGTGCTTCATCTTCGTCTTCTTCATCTTTAGCACTCTCAGCATCACCACGTTTACGGCGCAACATTCGTTTTTTATCACTACATAATCAAGCAAGAGATAAGGTATATATTAATATTTTCTATCAAAGAAAAAAAATGTTTTTATTCAATAAGCATCCTATGACAGCTTATTTCAAAACATACTTAATGTAGTTATTAAAGTGACCAATAATTTGTCACTTCCAGTAGAGAGAGACAGATGATTTACTTCCTGCTCATGTTATTTTTATCAATTACAGTTAATATCGGTAAATCTGCATTAGAAACCGCGACTTCTATTAAAATGGTACAATGCAACAGAGGGGATGTGGCTTCTATTAGAGCATCTGTACATACGAGAGACCCTGAATTTTGGGGTTTCAATTGTTCAATTGTGTGGCTTCTATTAGGGATGCAGCTTCTAATTCAGATTTTACAGTAGGTGATAGGTGCAAATTCTTCAGTAATGTATGAAAGATGCGGATCAAATCAACTGATGAGATTTTGAACTTTAATTTCTCTTTTTTATATAATTTTTATGTCAAAATACCAACCTTTCAGATAGGATAGAATAAAGCGTTAAAATATCCTTACATTTACTTCATTAAAATTGACCATCATCAAATGTGTTTAAGCATGGAAATATTTCTAAAATACCAATGTACTTCAGCATTGATGTTTTGAGGTAGTTAATTGTATTATCGTTAATTGTACTCACATTCTATGAGCTGTTAGTCCTGACCAATAAGCCCCAATAACCACAGTACCGACAGCTATCAACCATATTAATATCAGATTATAGTCAACTCTAGTGGTTTCCGCAGGAGCATACAGTGCAGCAACTATACCATCCCCTTTCCCCTGTAACAACAACAAACAAGTCATTGTCAATGACACATCCCGTTCCGTTCATATTTGAGTGACATATACATTCAAAGCAGATCATGACCGAAATCTCAGACCACTTTCAGTGGTCTGATCCGAAATGCACCTGCATATGTACAACACATTGTACTAAATCTGAACAAAATCCATCCATGACTGAGATCCGGTTCCGGAATTGTGAAAATACATGATTTTGATGCATTTT